TGCCCCGGTAGGTAATTTGTAGCGCACTTGCCTGGTGAGCAAGAAGTACGGGTTCGGGTTCCGTTTGAGGCGAAAGATTCGTTCACAACCCGTATTCTTGTGAGAAAATAGAAACAGCCATAATGGCGAGTGTGGTGATCGGGGCAGGGAGGAGAGGAGTTGTATTAGGGAGCCTTTCGAGAAGGATGGTGGTGGTGGGGAGTCATAGAGATGCTCCAAAATGATGGGGGGATTGCAAAATTTTTGGAAAAGTGCGAGACCCTGGTTCCAATGTGACATTCCCTGCTGAGGGCCTACATCATCAAGGAGTTTCGGTAAGGTCATCGAAACCGCACCACCCTACATCCATCGTCATCGCTGCCTTCTAAGCCTTAGCGTTTCTTTACTGTTCTTTGTTTACAGCCTACTTTATCGATGTGCACCTACAAGCTTAACTTTGTAGAGCTGTCCGAAGTGCTTTGGCATATGGTGCTCTCGAACGCGTTCGGCCTAAGCGGAATCGCTGGTTACATAGCCATCTATGTGATCTTCTTCTTCTTCGGAGTGCTCACCTTCTCTATTCTGGTACTTATGGAAGGTCTCTCAGCTTTCCTCCATGCACTTCGTCTCCACTGGTAACTTTGCTTTCCAATTCTTCACAGCAATATCCATCAACCACTCGCGTTTTCAGGGTCGAATTCCAATCGAAGTTCTATCAGGGCCTCGGCTACGCATTCGTACCGTACTCGTTCAAGACGGCCCTACTTGCAGCCGAAGCCGGCAACTAATCGCTGGCGCTCCGATTCGTCAACTCAATTTTTGCAACTGTGCATAATTTCAGCATAATCCGAGTGGCTAGGTAGCGGCAAAGCCGGTGCGTGCATTGGCAAGTTGAGGAAGCCCTTCTCCTTCACTGTCCATTCTCGATAATTGTCCGCTTTGAAATCTTTTCATAATCTGTCAATGTTTCCCGGTGACTTCACAATAAACGAATCGAAGCCTCTTAACAGTCGGAAGCCGATCAAGGCAATTCGCATGTCGAATGTTGGTAAATAAAGCATCGTGCGCAGAAGGAAGAGTCCGGGTTACCTCATAAAAGTTGGGTGAGTACTAACTGAAGGAGCGACAAGTCATTTCCACCTGGAATACAAGGATGTCACTAAGAAAACAATTGTGAAGCTACCAATGAACCAAAAGCGGAGTTTAGGATTAGATGGTAGCCCATTAGAGTTGCCGAGATTAAGAAAAAACTGTGAGACACAGCGAAAGATCCAGAAATGAGATTCTTTTGCTCACTGATTTCCACATTGATGCGATCTCATCGCTTCTCCTCCCTTCCAAGCCTATAAAAACTCTCTGATGAACGCTAGGGACCCGTGCGACGCTGATAGCTATCGGTGGCCGTGCCGCGTTGAAGCGCCGCGGCCCGCCATGCTACAGCCAGGCCAAGCAACGTTAACGAATACTCGCCGAGGCAGTAATATGAGCTGGGATTGGTGATGATCAGAGCAGCGGTAGCCTGTTCGGGAGTGGATGGAACCGCAGCCCACACCGGTTGGCACTGGATACCAAGTGCACGGTACATCCCTGAGCGACTTGAACAATCTCGCGTTCTCTCTGCGATGAAGATTGAAATGCCAAAATGTCACCAGAGCTGCTCAGAGCGGACTTCTAAAATGGCAGAAATCCACCACCGAAGAAATGCATTTTTCAGCGTTACGTCACAGAAATATAACCATTTGAGTAAATTGGAACCTTGCAGTATATTTTTACACATATATGAAAGCAGGGAACTCGTGAATTGAAAAGCTTTTTTCATATTTTCACAAAGTTGTCCACGAAAGAAACTATACTCGCTGAAGGAGTGGCAACGCAACGGAGAAGACCTTTTGGCAGCACTCCACAAAAGTTCTCAAGACGGCCCATTTTTGAAATATACTAATTGATGGGTCAAGCAATTTCAAAGACAATTACTACGGCAAACCATCCATACAAAAGAATATTAATTTTCCTGACTTTATGTATCTGCCATTTCTCGTTAGTTGCCCAAAAACGGGTAACTAACGATTAATGGCAGATGTTTCCGTAAGTTTGCGTAGACTTAGCTTTTATTTGGAAGAACTCGTCCAAAAACTTCCAAATCTTCCTTCAGATCGAAACTTCGTAATTCAGAAGGAATTTATGGTTATTTGAATATGTGTTCCATTTTCAACGTGTTCCGCCAGACATGTTCTGCTTCAAGGTAATACACGTTGCAAGGGCAATCAGATTTCTTCACAATCCGTCGGTACGAGTAGAAGTGTTAAGAAAGGGAAGGGAGTCATGGAGTTATTCTCGACGCCTCACTTTACCCTGACCCCGCTGAGGTGCGCGAGGAATTCTCATTTTCCTCACAGCTCCTCCACTCCTGGGCCCAATAGACATAACGACGCTCCCTAACCAAAGTACAACAGTGCCGAAAGGAGATTGTTCTCAGACCGCCAGGATGTACCACAGTGGGGAAACGGACTGGTAATATAGTCCATCAAACCTATTCACAGTTGATGATGGCCAGAATTGTGCGGACTTGTTAGCCGAGAATCGAAACAACGAGCAATCAATTGTTACTTCCTGCTCTCAAATTGAAAGAGGAAAAATGGGATTACGAAAGCGTACACTAAAAGTGACGGCTGTCGGAGCCAACCTCCAAAAGGGCAGAAAGTAAAGCACTAATGATTGGTATTGATTAACTTACAGCAACAATTCAGTATTGAAACGAGAAGAAGCTCAGGCTTGGCGCAACGAATAAAGGCACATCCGCCAAAATAGATTGTAAAGGAGTCTCACGACAAAAACCCCTTCTCGGCAGCGTAGATGAATAATGGGCCTTGTTGAACGTACACAGCAACTACTCAGCACAACAAATGTAGTTTTTTATTTTTTTTTATTTATTTATTTATTTATTTATTTATTTATTTATTTACTATTGCACAAATGAGACAACGTTATATTAAATGGGGGAACAGTAACACAATAGCGTGTAAATATATAAATATATGCATATATACATGTACAGCAAATTAATACGGGAAGCTTAGGATAATACAGGAGTTCAAAGTAAAGTTATGAAACAAGTTTTGAAAAGCAGCTGATTGGCTAATAGAGTACGGGGGGGGGAGGCGGGAGATCCAAAGGGCCACCTAGGAGGAGAAGGGCAATGGCCGGCCAACATTGCAAGCCGCCAAGCGGGGAAAGCGACTCCGGATACCAACTTAGTAGGTCCGCCAACCCCTCCTAGAGCCGTAATGAGGTAGGGAAGGGGAATACTGGGCTGAAAAAGAATAAATGGTTGTTGATTATTCAATGAAAAAAAATAGTCCGATTAAATGATAATAACACAGAAGGTCAATGACAATGTTAAAAAAACGTATAGTAGTGAGTGCGACTATTGTTAGGTCATTACAAGACAACTATGAACAGGAAGCGATATTAAGAGGCTAGCAAGGAAGGAAATAAATGATCGATCGTGTTGGCTGAAATATCGAAACGTTAAGTGCTGTCCAAGATAGCATATCGTATAAACCGAAACCACTTACAGTATCGATCAGTTCCCCCTACCTCAGGAACTGGGATGCCAGACGACGGAAATTGGCGCAACCATTTAGGAGACAAACCGATCAGAATCACGCAGGAGCACATTTGTACAACTCAGGAGCTGTAAACGTGAATGCTAAGCCGCTTGCAAACACTTTAGGCGGCGCTGGATTCGAACCCCAGTGAGATTCATTGCGAGTGCACGCATGAGCGGCGGCACTTCGCTCTGCGCTATGGAGGCGGCTGGCACGCACCCATTCCAGCAAAGTCATGTGGCGCGGGGGTAGGCGCACCTGCCGTCACGCGATTACATTTCCAAAACTCGTATCTGGAGCAGCCACTCGGCACTTGAGATACCTACATAAGTGATCCTGAAACGTCCTAGTATGTTTCCATCTGAAAAAATCTGAATCAAGTTTGTTCCAAGTGAAACCACTCTGACAGTGAACGCTTCTCCGTACGCGTGTGTGTTGGGCTTGTCGGGTCGTAAACGATAGGGGTGGCCTCTTGATACCCCTATAGAAGGCGACATTTCAAAAATGTCAGTCAATTTCAAATTCAATTTATCCATCGCAAGTTTATACATCAATCCGAAATCAATTAACTTTCGTCGAAATTCAAGAGACTCTTCATGAAGCATACTAAGGCGCTCATCATAGGATAATGTTGACAAACCTTTGCGCATGAAAACAGCGATAAGTGAAACTTCTTTGAACTTTTTCAATTTCTTCGATTAACGATCTTTTGAACGGCGACCAGATTGGCGAGCAATATTCAAGGATTGGGCGAACGTAGAGATTGAATAGATAAAATAGTAGTTGGTTTGTTTGCGCTGTTCATTCGCCTTAGAATGATATCACTAACCAGTTTTGCTCCGCCCGCTATCGCGCGCATCACACGGCAGGCTTTAGCGAAACTGGAGGACCCATGGAATATCAGCATGAGGTACTCCATTAACCACCTCACTATTGAATGTGTTAGACCTTTCCCAGTTTCGCTGAAGTCCATCGAGAATACGCGTGATAACGTCTGGAGCTGAACTGGCATATTTATCTCACAACTGTAAACATCCAGCATTCTTCTTGAATTCAGATAATTTAGCGGTGAATAGGATTGCTGTCAGTCTCAAAATGAAAATGAAATATGCCTATTTACATAAGTGAGGAGCTAAGGCTTATCATTTATTTACATTCACCATTATTTAGAACCCCGAAAGGATTAGCGGTTTAATGAGTTTGGGCTTTCTTGATAGGAATGAAACTTATCATTTGCTGAAGACTTGATTGAGTTTATGCAATCGACTGCTATTAAGTAAGCTGGTCATACAATGATACAATGTGCACGTACCACTACAAATAGAATTTGTAAGTAGGGACGCTCTAGTATCAGCGCAAGCTACGCAAGCTGCGTTCTGACGCGCCTTATCAGCCTTTATCAGTTGTAACCACTTTCCATCACCCACCAACAATGTCCCCGTCCCACCCCACATAACACTTGTAAGTATGGTTGCTCTGGTGTCAACGCGAGCCAGGTAACGGAATCGACGACTTTTGCGTTCTAACGCATCTTATCAGCCCTTATCAGTTGCTATCGCTGTACCACCAATGTCCCGGGACCACCCCACATAACACTTGTAAGTATAGACGCTCTAGTACCAATATGAACGACAAAACGAAATTGGCGATGCTCGCTTTCTAGCCCCTCTTATCAGCTATTATCAGTCGTTATCAGTTCCTATCACATACCACTTGTGTCCCCATCCCACCCCCTATAACATATGTAAGAACCATGGCGCTATCATTGCTGTGACCGAGCTATGAATTTCGTGACAAACAG